TTTATTTAAAAAAAAAGATAAAAGAATCACCTCTGTAAAATCAGGATGGAAGATAACATTTCAGGGTAACAAAAAGATTCCAAACACAGAAGATTTCCCCTCTAGGCAAAAGTTTAAAGTTACAAAAACACGGATAAACCTCCCTCTTAGCACAGGGAAAATTCACAAGCTAAAACAAAAGATAATCTAATGCATTTCTTTGCTATTACTTACTATTTCTGCAATACTAGATGCTTTAGTCCAGATATGGTTTAGGGAGATGTATTTACCCTGCCCTGGTTCCTTTGCTGACGTTGAGAGAACAAAACAAAAGACACAAACAAAAACCTTACCCCACAGATTTGAAAGTATCTTCTCCCCTTATTGGTCCTTTTAGTCAGGTGCCAACCAGATTATCTGAGCTTCTTAACCCTTTACAGGATAAAGAGGGAGTTTATACTACCCTTAGCTGAATGTTTATGACACTGCATTATAGAGGTTAAAAGCAACACCATAAACTCTCCCCATCCAGTCCAGAGCACAGGTGCCAAGCACCCACTGAACAGCACTGCTTGCCAGTGCATTCTGACGCCTCCTGCACCTTTTCAATTTCAGAGGTTCTCTGCATTGCCCCAGAAATCCAACATGGAAGAAAAGTAGCTGGACGTGGATCTGTCTATAGACCCAGGGATACGGTTAGGTTTGAATGTGATCCTGGCTACACCCTGAATGGCAGCCGTCAGATTCAGTGCCGAGATGAAGGAACCTGGGATCCTCCTGTTCCAGTCTGCATACAGGGTAAGTGTGAATCAGAGTTGACTGCAGGGTAACTGAGATGATCAATATCTGGTAGGGATGTGCCTCTAGAGGCAAAAAAATAAACATTCTTTGAATCCTGGGGTCACTTTTCAGCTGTGAATGGGGAACATACAAATATCCACCCACCCCCTGATCTCTTCACTGTGCTCATCACTGTGATAGCTGATCACCTGCATCCTGCCCTGCCCTCCTGACAGACAGAGATCTGGCAATGCTCTGTCTCACTGAGCGTCCTAAAGGTGTGAATGGAAACACAAATCAGCAGAACTCTCCCCTGACTACTCCCTTTTTGGGGAGGCATCACTTCATTGTACAGCATCTGGAGCTTAGAGCAACCTGCACCCTCAATGTGAAGGTGCGTTTCTGTTCTGTTTGCGGCGTCCCTTTGCCTCGCTCGGTGTGTCAGACATACATGAGAATTTAAATTGAGACCACAAGAACTTTGAGACAAGACACCAATTCAGCAAATTACACAGCTGGGGACTAAACTTCCAGTGAGACACATGGACCAAAGTCACTGCTGGCAAGAGGAGCTCCTTTAACTTCAGTGGCTTTGCATCCACTCGTACCATGAATTATGATTCTGCGAGTGCAGCTGGGTAATGTTCATGCTGAAAGAATTGACACAGGTGACAAGAGGACGTCAGAGTGTAGAAATAGTTATGATATTGAAGTACAGTAAAAGACTTATCAAAGGAAATGGCTCAGTCCATTCCACCCCACACGTGCGTTAGAGTCTAAAGGGTTTGTTATGCTTTCCCTTTCAGTGACGTGCATGAGCCCAGAAGTGGAGAATGGCAGAACAAATGGGGTACTACAGCCTGCCTACAGACCCAGAGACATTGTTGTGTTTGAATGCGACCCTGGTTACACCTTGAGCGGCAGCTCCGAGACTCAGTGCCAAAATGATGGTAGATGGGATCCTCCTGTCCCTGTCTGTGAAAGAAGTAAGTGTGACTAAGGCTTTGATGGTGGGTTATCTTTGATCCCATTGTGATGAGTAAGATCTGGCAGGGCTGAGTATTTAGGTCAAAAGGACTGTGGGATTAGTTTCAGATCTGAAAAGGAGAATGCAAATATCTGTGTAGCTATCCCAGTGTTTCCCGTGCTCCTCTCCATAATATCTGGGCTTTTCTACTCTCCAAAAATATTCCTGAAGAACTGAGTCCTGGTCAGCTTTGCTGACTTAACCCCCCTCCCAAGTTAAGGGAACGTATGGATGGCCCCTACCAACCAAGAAATAGTCCCAAAGTAGCAGCATTTCCAATGTAAACACAAAATATACAGTGGAAATAGCCCTTGCTCCCCTACTAAGGCAGCTGGCAAAATGTCTGAGGGTTACAAGAAGCATGACCGAGTCATCATGCTTTATGGGTATTTGGTGGGATGTGACTGGATGGAGGTAGGTAACTTTACCCCTGCTGTGCATTTGCCTCACTGCTGTTGCATTGGGCACGACTCAACACAAGCATGTGGATTTTTTCCTTTCTGGAGATCAGCCTGTATGAGCTCTGCTTCAGTTAAGACTCTCTTCCCTCCCTGCAGTGTTGCAGTGTCCCTCTCCTCCAGCCATTGCCAACGGGAAGCCCAGCGGCTGGGACTTGGCAGTGTTCACCACTGGAATGTCTGTAAATTACAGCTGTGAGCCCGGCTACTCCCTAACTGGGCAGGCATCTATTTATTGTATGGCATCCGGAATGTGGAGCCCTCCCCCTCCTAGGTGTGAAGGTGCGTTTATGTTCTGTTACCTAGAACTAAGAGGAAGAAGCTCCTACCACATGATTTAACTCAAAAGACAAGGTCACCAGTGCAACAAATTTAACAGCAGGGAATTAACGCTCCATTTAATTAGAGACCGGGTGAAATAAATGCTTTTGAAAAGAAATGTGCTGTATGCAAACTCTGCACTCCTATGCACACACACACCCCACATTCGTGAAATATTAAAAAGCTGCACTTGTCTGATACCCTGGGTACCCTTAACATAAATTAGAAACACTAGCAGCTAATCTCCACACTCCCCTCACATTCACAGACAGACACGCTATCCCCACCTTTGCTACACGCTGAGTGAAGTGGAAAATGTGTCCCCCAAAAGCCAACAGGCCAGTACTGTTTAAGACCAAAGCACCAAAATGAGGGCCCCTCACGGGGAGCTCTCCCACCAGCCCTGCTCTCTCTGTCACTGAGAGGGAACCATCTGGGGCCTCTATTCACCACGAGAGGAGCAGTATGGTACCCGTGAGATGTGGTTTTAGGCAGGCTAGCACTAAAGAGTTTGTATTTTAGAGGTTAAAAGCAACACCATCAACTCTCCCCAGCCAGTCCACAGCACAGGTACCAAGCGCCCACTGAACAGCCCCACTTGCCGGGCAGGCTGACGTCTTCTGCACCTTTTCAATTTCAGAGGTTCTCTGCATCACCCCAGAAATCCAGCATGGAAGAAAAGTAGCTGGACGTGGACCTGTCTATAGACCCAGGGACACAGTTAGGTTTGAATGTGATCCTGGCTACACCCTGAATGGCAGCCGTCAGATTCAGTGCCGAGATGATAGAACCTGGGATCTTCCTGTTCCAACCTGCATACAGGGTAAGTGTGAATCTAGGCTGACTGCAGGGTAACTGAGATGATCAATATCTGGTAGGGTTGTGCCTGGAGGCTAAAAAATAAACATCCTTTGAATCCTGGGGTCACTTTTCAGCTGTGAACGGGGAACATACAAATATCCGCCCATCCCCTAATCTCTTGACTGTGCTCATCACTGTGATAGCTGATCGCCTGCATCCTGCCCTGCCCTCCTGACAGACAGAGATCTGGCAATGCTCTGTCTCACTGGGCACCCTAACGGTGTGAATGGAAACACAAATCAACAAAACTCATCCCCCTCTCAACAAATTCTATTTTGGATTCTTAAGGCAATCAAGGAAAATTTGTAGGAACAGAAAAGTAGCAGATTGGGAAAATCTGAGTTTGCGGGTGAAGGGGGATCTAGATAGGTGATATTTAATCTTTTTTGATGTGTTGCATCAATGGTGGAATGGAGGGTTTACCATAACACATGCATCCTGGGCTTTCCCCCTCCTGCAGACCAGCCTATTTTAAACAGGATTCAGATTTTCACTGAAATATTCTTCTTCCACTCTCCCCCGTTAGCGTTGCCGTGTCCCCCACCTCCGGTCGTTGTCAAAGGGAAACACAATGCCAAGCCATTGGCAACTTTCAACAGTGGAACATATGTGAGCTACAGCTGTGAACCCGGCTACACCCTCCGGGGAGAGGCTACGATCTATTGTACCACATCTGGAACTTGGAGCCACCCTTCTCCTCTATGTGAAGGTGAATGCATTTTCGGTTGGCTTCTTCCCTTTGGCTGTAGGTATGTCAGTCACTCAACAGGATTTAAAGCAAGAGAAAGAATGTTCAGACATACCAGCTAATGTAACAAAATTCACAGCTGGGAATAGATCCCCCAGGGGGACATACAGGGCTATAATCACTGCTGGCACAAGAAGCTCAGTTGACTTCAGTGGAACTTGCGCACTGATGCCGGCAGAGAGCACGGCTCCCTGAGCGCTGCCGGACAAGATTACAGTTGAAAGGATTTATAGAAGTGTCAGCAGGAAGATGGAATAGTGTAGACATACTAATGAAAATGAAGTTAAAGGTTCTGCAAAAGAAATGACCCTATAGACAAACTCCTACGCAGACTCTTGGGCATGTCCACACATAGATGTTGCAGTGGTTTAACTAATGGCGTAAACCCAGAAACTTGCTGTTATTATAAATGCAAATATATCCTTATGGGACAATTGAATTTGAAAATGTAAACGAAGGAAGTGGCAGTGAATGCGTTCATCAGAACAGTCTGAAAGCTCACAGGGTGGTACTCTGGGTGTGTACAAACTGCTAGATGCAATGAGAAGACAGCGCTCATGGTGGAGGCAGTGTGATGAGTGGTTATTTATGTTCCCACGTCTGCCATCGGTGAGGTGTGCTCGTCCTATAGCCTCAGCCGCTAAATGAGAGTAAGAGATAACTTAAGTATCTTGAGTCAATGGGCTGTTGTATCAAAGTTTGTGAAGGGCTTGGGTCCTTTGATAGATGGTGCTGTATGTGGATATTAATTCCGTTGGGCATTGCTGCACTTATAGAGTCATATGCTTTAAGGCCAGAAGCAACTATTGTGATTCTTTAGTCTTTTGCTGACAGTACTACTGAAAACTGGCACATTTTAGCATCCTGGGAGTATGGCAGCCCAAGGATGGATATTAGGACCAGAGGTAAACAGGGCAGGTGCATATGTTGTTTTAGTTGATTGGGAAATAGAGGTTCTTGTGTCAGTGAATAGTTTGGCCCTGTGTGTGTTGTTTTAGGTTCAGTCTCCAGCTACGGATTTTGTTGCATTAGCACCTTTGTCTGAAGGTTCTCTTTCCCTCGGCTTTAATCCCAGCGTAACACCTAGAAGAATATTTATAAAGCGGATCCGCAGTTGTTTCTTTGTAACACTGTTGTTTTATCTACCTGCACCTGATATGGTACATACCAGTACAGTAGATATGGTTCTTTTTTCTCATGTGTATTTCCTTTCTTCCTAGAGGGCTGTGGTGTCCCAACGAGGTTAAGCTTTGCTGAGCTGAAGAGCGAGTATAAAAATCAGTCTTACTTTCCTGTTGGGAAGACTATCAACTATACTTGCCGGCCTGGATACAGCAGACAGCCGCAGATACCACCCACTATTACATGCCTTCAGAATCGAAGGTGGTCAGAAGCACTCAAGTTCTGTAAAAGTGAATATCTTCATGGATTTTGTTTCCGTTGTTCGATAAAGGTCTTAATGGCAATAACATTTTGCAGCCTGGATACAACTAATGTGCCTTTAAATAGTTAATAGTAACTAGTCAAGTTCTCTAGCTGTGCCGATTCTGGTCCTTCTAAATGCCTTCTTTGTGGAGTGTGTTAAATAGGGACAGATCCCTGGGAATAATTGTAGCATTGAAAGAGAGAAGCCTAATCCTAGCCTTGTTCTCTACCAGAGAAATTGTGTGGTCATCCCGGAGAGCCGGAGAACGGCAGAGTTATTATATCAGATCTCCTCTTTGGGTCAACCATCAACTTCACGTGTGAAGAAGGGTAAGTGTCAGACTGCCTGAGCTGACTACTTGTGCTTAGCTTGCAGCTGTGGAACAGAAAGGGATATCCTCGTATTCCCCCAACTCCTGAAAGCAGTTTACTCTTCCGTACTGCCTGACGGTGCTGGCTGAGCACAGATGTCTCCTGTGAGTAGGATCCAAGTGACCAGGGCAAACCTGGGAATCTCTTGGATTTTACCCCTGGTTTGACAGGGGAACAGTTCTTCTTCTGAATCATTGGAAATGGCTGCCTTTCTGTACAGAGTTGTGTGGAAGGGTTTTCACCGACTAACTGCCCACCTGCCAGACCGATGAGGTGTCTCCAAGGGAAACCCGGCTGGGGACGGTGCCCGATCGAGAGCGCTGGGGATACGGTGACAGAAGAGGGCGTCACTCGCCCTCTCCCTTTGAAGATTAGGACTGTGCTTCGGGGTCTGAGAAACAAAGGTCTGCAGCTGTAGTGCTGGCTTGTGCCCTTGTAGAGCGTGTCATATGGGGGGGCGAAAGGGAAGAGCCTGTGTCTGCAGAAAGTGCCATTGCACAGACACTGCGTGTAACAACAGCTGCCTGCTGAACTCCAGAACCAGCTCAGCTGAGGTTTGCTGGACAGTGTCTTTGTATTTGGACCTCTCTGCTGGGGTGGGGAGTTACTCCTGCGTGGGTTACAACAGTCATGATTGACTTAGTTTATGAATCTCAAGGTAGCCAGACCTCAGCTGGGTCTCCCTGGCCCACATCCACAGAAATGTATCTCATCCATCATGAGAAAAACAAAACCCCTCTCAATCAGGCATAATAATACCCCTCCTGCAGCAGCCTGCCAGAAAGTGCTGGGAGAAAATGCTGTTACTAGTTTGCCTGTGGCTTGTGATTCCATGGTGGGGAATGATAGTGCTGATGTGGTGAGGAGGGCTTGAGGGCACAGGAAAGACCTTTGGATCCCCTGGCTCAAAGAATGCCAGCTGATTGGGCCTACATAGGATTCTGTTCCATGGTTTAATTCCACAGGGGGCTGGGGAGTTCTGAGTTGGCAAGGAGCCTTTTCTCCTGTGATTATCACTCAGTAGTTGGTGGTGTTGGTCCCCACCTGCTGTGGCTGGGGAGAAGAGCTTCACAAATAACTGAGGTTCACAAGAGAACGCAAACATCAAAGGAATAGGTAACAACTGATAACCCCCTCTGCCTAACTCCAGACACCGGTTGATTGGACAGCCTTACAGACGATGTGAGATTTCTGGCATGCGTGTTGCATGGAGTGGTGAAGTTCCCATTTGTGAGAGTAAGTAAATTACAAATGTCCGTCTAGGTGCTTACCTAAGTAGGTCATAGCTGTCTGTCCATGTGGTTACATGTGCCCATTTGCTTGCCTCACAAATGTTAATTAAGAGGGAAGGAAGAATTATGATCTCCACTTTAGAGAGGGAGAAATGAGGCACACAGAGATTAGTTATCCAGGGTGATATACGGAGTTGGTCAGTGGCACAGCCAAAAATTTAAACCAGATCTCCAAGTCCCAAACCAGAACTTTACCCACAAGAGCCTCACAGGATTATAGGCATATGTGAGGGGGATTGTACAGAGGACACTCTTTGAGGAGAGAATACTTGTAAAGTTGCTATGAAGGGACCTACGCTGTGACCAGTGTATCTCCATCTCCTTCTCCCAGGGTGGCCTCCACATTTCCCACAACAATCTGTAGTTTCAAGTAGGAGTAATATAGGCTAGTACAACAAGTGACATGGAAAATGTTGAAAGCCTAAACAAGGCTTGAGAGCTGCGTAGGGTAGAGATATTTTTTTTCTTTCTCTCTGGCCCTGTTTCAGCTAAAGCGTTTCTTTTTCAGAGGTTAGTTGCCCAGCCCCACAAATCCAGAATGGAAGAAGAGTATCTGGTGACAGACATGTCTATTCATATAAAGACAGTGTTACCTTTGAGTGTGATCCTGGCTACACCATGAAGGGTCACAGTCTGAGTCAGTGCCAAACTGATGACACGTGGGATCCACCTTTGCCCGTCTGTGAACCAGGCAAGTGTCAAAACTCTGATTTGTTCGTATTATTCATCTAGAAACAGGTTTCCCTTTTGTCTCATCTGTGAGGATCTCCAACACTAACCCAGTCTGCGTCTGTCCTGCCTTATGCTCACCTCAAATCAAGAGACTTGACAGACTGGTTTGAGGGGAGAGGTGGACGGTCCCAATGGTTAGGAACACACCAAGAGAATAAGAAATGAACCAGGTTGGGGGCAGTGGGGATGCCAGGTGAGTAACTTTGTCCCTTCTGTTTGCTGCAATCCTTGTGCTTTCCCACAACGCATTTGGAAGTTATGATTCCTCAAACTGCACCAGCTGTGAGAAGTGACCCAAGTTGACAAGAGCCGTGGGTCTGCTGAGGGTAATTTCTGTATCTTAAAGGTAAAAGCAGAGCATTTTTATCTTCCTCTGCTCAGGATCCTCATGTCTGTCCCATCTTGAAATGGGAACTGGAAGTGATTTAGAAGATGATATTCAATAACTTCTTGGTCCACCACAGTTTTTGCAGGTACTTCTGCTTCCTCTGCTGAATTTCACTATTTTTATCAGTTATGAGCAGGCTTTCCAGTAACTACACTCACATTTCACTCTTCCTTTGGAGGTAGATGATGACCTTCTAGTTTCCACATGCTGAATAATTATGAACTAACTTTTATTTTCCCCCCTGACAGTAGTCTTGCAGTCAAGCTCTTTTCTATAATGGGGTGAGACAAGATTGTTACAAATGAGTAAAAGATTCAGAAAAGCAACAGGCCATTAGGGTTTGCACTGTAATACATTAAATAGTGAGCCTAAATTGTCCAGTGATTTTTTGGTTGTCCAACTTGTGATGCTTAAAGGAGCCTGATATTTTTTTCTGGGTGGTGGGTGTCTGTAAATTACCGTTGTGATCCTGATTTCTCCCTTTTTGGGGAGGCATCATTTAATTGTACAGCATCTGGAGCATGGAGCAATCCCCACCCTCAATGTGAAGGTGCGTTTCTGTTCTGTTTGCTGCTTCCCTCTGCCTCGCTCGGTGCGTCAGACACGCAAAAGGATTTAAATAGAGACCATAAGAACTTTGAGACAAGCCACCATTTCAGCAAATTCCACAGCTGGGGACTAAACTTCAAGTGAGACAAACGGGCCAAAGTCACTGTTGGCAAGAGGAGCTCCTTTAACTTCAGTGGCATTGCATTCACTCGTACCAGTGGTGAATGTTTCTGTGTGTGCAGCTGGGTAATGTTCATGCTGAAAGAATTGACACAGGTGACAAGAGGACGTCAGAGTGTAGAAATAGTTATGAAAGTGAAGTAAAAGACTTGTCAAAGGAAATGGCTCACTGGGTAAACTGCCCATTCCATCCCACATGTGTGGTAGAGTCTAAAGAGTTTGTTATGCTTTTCCTTTCAGCCACGTGCGTAAGCCCAGAACTGGAGAATGGAAGAACAAATGGGGTACAGCCTGCCTACAGACCGAGAGACATCGTTGTGTTTGAATGTGACCCTGGTTACACCTTGAGCGGCAGCCCCGAGACTCAGTGCCAAGATGATGGTAGATGGGATCCTCCTGTCCCTGTCTGTGAAAGAAGTAAGTGTCACTAAGGCTTTGATGGTGGGTTATCTTTGATCCCATTGTGATGAGTAAGATCTGACAGGGCCAAAAGGACTGTGGGATTAGTTTGAGATCTGAAAAGGGAAATGCAAATATCTGTGTAGCTATCCCAGTGTTTCCCGTGCTCCTCTCCATAGTATCTGGGCTTTTCCACTCTCCAAAAAGATCCCTGAAGATAGGGGGAACGTAGACACATTCTGGGGGAATGCATGTCACCTGTGCTGCTGAGTGCTGCTGAGTTCCCCACGCTGGCCAAACAGGAAATGAAATTCAAAAGTTCCTGGGGCTTTTCTTGTGTACCTGGCTAGTGCATCTGAGTTCAAAGTGCTGTCCAGAGCGGTCATAAATGGAGCATTCTGGGATAGCTCCTGGAGGCCAATACCTTCGAATTGCATCCATACTACCCCAAATTCGGCCCGGCGATGTCGATTTCAGCGCTAATCCCTTTGTCAGGGGAGGAGTACAGAAATCGATTTTAAGAGCCCTTTAAGTCGAAAAGACCGGCTTCATCGTGTGGATGGGTGCAGGGTTAAATTGATGTAACGCTGCTAAATTCGACCTAAACTCGTAGTGTAGACCAGGGCTAAGGTTTTGATGGTGGGTTATCTTTGATCCCATTGCGTTGAGTAAGATCTGGCAGGGCTGAGTATGGAGGCCTAAAGGACTGTGGGATTGGTTTGTGATCTGAAAAGGGAAATGCAAATATCTGTGTAGCTATCCCAGTGTTTCCCATGCTCCTCTCCATAGTATATGGGCTTTTCCACTCTCCAAATGATCCCTGAAGAACTGAGTCCTCGTCAACTTTGTCGCCTTAACCCCCCTCCCAAGATAAGGGAACTTAGAGAAGGCCCCAACCAAGCAACCAATAAATTATCTGAAAGTGGCAGCATTTCCATTGCAAACACAAAATATACAGTGGAAGTAGCTATTGGAGCCTTACTAAGATGGCTGGGAACATGTCTGTGGGTATCAAGAAACATGACTGACTCATCACGCTATATAGGTATTCGGGGGGGATGTGAATGAGGTGGAGGGATTGGAGGTAGGTAGCTTTACCCTTGGTGTGCATTAGCCTCACTGCTGTTGCGTTGGGCATGATTCAATATGTGCATGAGGATCTTTTCCCTTCTATAGATGAGCCTGCATGAGCTCTTGTGCAGTTAAGACTCTCTTCCCTCCCTGTAGTGCTGCAGTGTTCCTCTCCTCCAGCCATCACCAATGGGAATCCCAGCGTCCAGGCCTCGGCAGTGTTCACCACTGGAATGTCTGTAAATTACAGCTGTGAGCCCGGCTATTCCCTTACTGGGCAGGCATCTATTTATTGTACAGAATCCGGAACGTGGAGCCCTCTCCCCCCTCGGTGTGAAGGTGTGTTTATGTTCTGTTACCTAGAAGCTCCTACCACAGGATTTAACATGAAAGACAAGCTCACCAGTGCAACAGAATTAATGTCAGGGAATTAATGCTCCATTTAATTAGACACATGGTGAAATAAATGCTTTTGAAAATAAAGGCACTGAATCCACACTCTGCACTCCTACGTGCGTGTGAACAGATAAACACCCACAGGAAAATATTTTAAAAAGCGTCTGTCTGAAACCCTAGGCACACTTGACATGAATTACAAACACTAGAAACGAATATCCACGCTACCCTCACACACACAGGCAGACAGAGAAATCTCTGCCTCCAATCTCTACCCTTGCTACACGCTGAGCGAACAGAAAAGATTTGCAGTGTGTGTCCTAAAGGCAAAAGGCCTGTACTGTTTAACGCCTAGTGCAAGGAGTAGGCGCCAAATTGAGGGTCCCTCACAGGGAGCTCTTCCGCCAGCCCTGCTCTCTCTGTCACTGAAAGGGAACAATCTGTGGCCTCTATTCACCATGAGAAGAGCAGTATAGTACCCTGTGGAATGTGGTTTTAGGCAGGCTAGCACTAAAGTGTTTGCATTTTAGAGGTTAAGAGCAACACCATAAACTCTCCCCAGAAACTGGTAGGGAGCCAATGCAGAGCACAGGTGCCAAGCACCCACTGAACAGCACTGCTTGCCGGGCAGGCTGATGCCTTCTGCACCTTTTCAATTTCAGAGGTTCTCTGCATCACCCCAGAAATCCAGCATGGAAGAAAAGTAGCTGCACGTGGTCCTGTCTATAGACCCAGGGACATAGTTAGGTTTCAATGTGATCCTGGCTACACCCTGAATGGCAACCGTCAGATTCGGTGCCAAAATGACAGAACCTGGGATCTTCCTGTTCCAGTCTGCATACAGGGTAAGTGTGAATCAGGGTTGACCGCTGAGTAACTGAGATGATCAATATCTGGTAGGGTTGTGCCTGGAGGCTAAAAAATAAACATCCTTTGAATCCTGGGGTCACTTTTCAGCTGTGAATGGGGAAAATACAAATATCCACCTACCCTCTTATCTCTTGACTGTGCTCGTCACTGTGATAGCTGATCGCCTGCATCCTGCTCTGTCCTCTTGACAGCCAGAGATCTGGCAATGCTCTGTCTCACTGAGCGTCCTAACGGTGTGAATGGAAACACAAATCAACAAAATTCATCCCCCTCTCAACAAATTCTATTTTGGATTCTTAAGGGAGTCAAGAGAAATTTGTAGGAACAGAAAAGTAGCAGATTGGGAAAAGATTGGGGGGATCTAGATAGGTGATATTTAATCTTTTTTGGATGTGTTGCATCACTGGTGGAATGGAGGGTTTGACATAACACATGCATCCTGGGCTTTTCCCCTTCCTGCAGACCAGCCTATTTTAAGCTGTTCTTAAACAGGATTCTTCCCCTCTCCCCCGTTAGCGTTGCGGTGTCCCCCACCTCCGGTCATTGTCAAAGGGAAGCACAATGCCAAGCCATTGGCAACTTTCCCCAGTGGAACATACGTGAACTACAGCTGTGAACCCGGCTACGCCCTCCGTGGAGAGGCTTCGATCTATTGTACCACGTCTGAAACTTGGAGCCACCCTTCTCCTCTATGTGAAGGTGAATGCATTTTTGGTTGACTTCTTCCCTTTTGTGGTGACGACGCAGGAAACAGAACGCCAGGTTTGTTGGTAGCCAGAGAGCTTTACAAGCCTCTTGCAAAAAGCCTCCCAGGAAAACTTTCCTGGGGTTTTTATTTCTCTCCTTACTTTGTTTACAACACTTCTTAGTGGTTACATTCTTGCGCATAGAAAAGCCAGGCAGTATACATGCACATAAGATAACGAACCCATCTCTTGAGCGCGTGAACACCAGCTGCGAGGGTACAATCAAATCAGCCAAATAAGTTTCCCAAACACAAACGCTGGATTGAAGGTCACTCCTGCCTCGTAGCCATGGGAGCAGTTTGCCGTTCTTCAAGGCTTGTGATTAGGGAGCAACACATTCCTAAATCACCCCCTATTTTATTATATATGCGATGTTTAGACAAAGCACCTTCGCAGGGTAGCATACACAATGTCACTAGATTGGGTAAACATTAAACAAAGCAGCAAAATGAAACACCAAAAACCAAAACTAAGACCCCATACTATAAAAGGGTCCTTATCCACTCTAAGGATAGCTATGACTAGATATAATTCCACCAAGGAGGAAAAACGTCCTGGCGGATGGCTTAAGCATAACCTTTCAGCATATCAATTTGCTATTACATGCGGTTACTATTATCAGTAAGCTTAAAACAACACATTTCTTTCACTGTCTCACACCCCAGATGTTGCTGGGTGGTTTGCAGACAGGAACAAGGCAAGTACTTAACAGACCTTGCATTTTCGGGGCAACGGCCAGGCAGAAATCAGATTGATTCAATACTTGTGCCAGGTGGACCCAAATGTCTTGTAATGTGGTGTCATTAACATACACACAGCTGTCATTAACTTGAAAAAGTAAGTGTCCTGTCAGGTGTAATCTCAGGAGCACTGACTAAAATTAACTGGGCATACTAGGTAGTTTAATTTCCCAGATGTTTTGGTGAATTACTCAATCCCACATGCATCTTCTCCATGGACCCGGCAGGATTTGGTATGTGGGAGGCCACACCCCCTTTACCGGTCCATATGCTTGGAAGGAGCACTAAGAACGTCTGCACTTCCACCCAGAAAGTCTCCAAGTATGTCTTCATGGCCACAGATCAGATGGTACTCCTGATGTGTCTGTAAGGGCAGTGGGCCAAGCCTGAACATGCTAGATCCCACTGCAATGCCTTCCCAGCCTCAGTGATATTCAATACCATCTCTGTCAGCAACTTCTGGGTCATTGTCTGTATTTTGATGTGTTACAGGGGTAATAGTGTAATAGAGGAGATGGCAGGGGCAATGGCAACAAGGTGCCTTTGGTACTTATCATTTAAAATCCAATTAGGGAAGGCAATACATACTGAAGGACTTATCCAAAACACAGGGCGCAGCCTGTAGAATAAACCCCAAAATCCAATCAATACCACGTTCCCAAGCATGGGTTCCACAAATTTCTTCCTGCCAGTGTATAATTCTTTGTTTCTTCACCAGGGTCAGTTTTTAATGTGGGCAGTGGTCGGG